CTGCCTCAGCCTTCTGTGTAGCTGGGATTATAAGCATTCACCACCACACCTGGCTAATTTTTGTATTTTTAGTAGAGATGGAGTTTCACCATGTTGGTCTTGAGCTCCTGCCCTCCAGTGATCCACCCACCTTGGCCTCCCAAATGCTGGGATTACAGGTGTGAGCCATTGCACTCAGCCAGGGGATTCTTTTTGATAAAGCTGGGCTGAGCCCCCTACCCTGGATGACAGTCTGCTTGAAAAGTTCATCTCGTAGGTGAGGCAGAAAACAGTCAATGCGCTCCCAGGTGATCTCCCAGAGGGCTGAGTGGCCACCTCCTCGCGCATCTGCACTGTGGAAAATCTCCGCTGTGTCCATCACCAGAAGCATGTTCTTCAGAGACTCAGGGATCGCCTCTGACTGCAGGTGGCAGTGGGGCCATGAGCATAGGAAAGAGGGCAGGGGGGAGTATGGTGAAGGGAGGCAGCTACCAAGGGGGAAAGGGTAAGTCCTTCCAGCAGGTGGGACAGGAGGCAGGCAGTCAAGCTGAGGTAGAACATACCAGTAAGTCGCTGGAGCCTGCGTGCATGTACTTGTCCATGAAGTCCAAGATGGTGAGCCAGAGGGCCGCAAAGGTAGACAGCGACAACAGTGGAGACAGGTGCTGCAGGAAGACCTACGGCCCACCAGCCCCCTTCAGCCGAGGGGTCTGTAGGAGCCCCTGGACCCCTCTCTGAGGCTGGGTGGCTAAGCTTGTCCTATCTTGAATGAGAATCTTAGAGATTAGGTCCAGAATCCTCTCAGGTCCCTAGGTCCTGCTTAGTGCCCACGGCTGGGGGTCGTGAGCCCCTACACTGCATCTCTAGGTCCTGCCAGAAGCCCTGGCTTCCCCCCTTGGGAAAAGGCAGGTATGGGAGAGGGTGGTGAGCAGTACCTTAGAGAGCAGTGTGGAAGCCCTCATCCGGGTCTCCTCCATCCCGCCCACATCTGCAGGGCTGATGTTCTCCAAGAGCTTGGTAAGTAGAGGAAACAGCACCTGGTAGGGGTAAATGTGCCATGTCTCCCTATCAGGGTCAGCTGGCAGCCTTGCCCCAAGAAGCCAGGAACTGGCTGGATGAGCATAGAGCACAAGGGAAGGTATGATGCAGGCTGAGGACTCATATTAGGGGCTCTTCAGGCTGCCTGGCTTTCCTTTTCTTAGGGTTTGAACTTAATATCCTAAGACCAGTAGGAAGCCCTACCTTGTTAAAACAGGACTCCCATTCCAGGGCATCCAGCTTTTGTAGATCATGTACAAGCAGTGCTCGCTGCAGATAGGTCAGTGCCTGCATCCGAACCTGGCGCCGGGCATCGCAGCACAAGCAGGCAATACCTGAGAGCGAGAGCAGGGTCAGGATCCTTCAGGCCTCTTGATCCTGGTGCTCCCCAAACTCCCTACCTCTGCCCCTCCTGGTTTACCCTGCAGTAAAGGGCACCAGCAGTGGGCCCAGAGGGTGCGAGAATCAGCTTCGATCTTCTGGCCACCTGTCTCCAGGTGGCGTTGCTCCTCTGCCCATGAGCTGTAGATAGAGGCTGCCCGCGTGTGCAGGGTGTGCATCAGATCTAGCAACTAGGATCACAGGAGGGGACAAGATGAGAGTGGGTTAGGTCTGGTGGATCCCTTTCCCCCTCCCCACTCACTGTCCCTGAGTCCTCAAGGGGTCTATAGTATCAATCATGCCATACCTCACCCCCTCACTACTCTTTCCCTTGACTTGACTTCCTGGTTGCTCCAGTCCTTGCAAAGGACTCTCCAAGTCAGGGATTACTCATGAGAGAGAAAGCCTCAGGAGGCATGTGGACTGAGTATTTCACAATCCTGGTTTACAGTGAGAAAGATACTTTCTTTTCAATTCTGTTTCATACCTGCTGACAGAGAAAGCCTCATGCGGTTAATTCAATTTTATTTTTTGAGGCAGGGTCCTTTCTCTGTCACTCAGGCTGGAGTGCAGTGGCACAATCATGGCTCACTGCAGCCTCAAACTCCTGGGCTCAGGTGATCCTCCCACCTCAGCCGTGTGAGTAGCAGGAACTACAGATGTGTGCTGCCACGCCCAAGTATTTTTTTGTATTTTTGTAGAGATGGGGTTTTGCCGTGTTGCCCAGGCTGATCTTGAACTTCTGGGCTCAAGTGATAGTCCTCCCAAAGTTTTGGGATTACAGGGGTGATTATACCATGCCTGGCCCAATTTTTCTTTTCTTTTTTTCTTTTTCTTTTTTTTTTTTGAGACAGAGTCTTGCTCTGTCGCCAGGCTGGAATGCAGTGATGCAATCTTGGCTCACTGCAACCTCCACCTCCAGGGTTCAAGCGATTCTCCTGCCTCAGCCTCCCAAGTGGCTTGGACTACAGGCACACACCACCACGTCCAGCTAATTTTTGTATTTTTAGTAGAAATGGGATTTCACCATGTTGGTCAGGATGGTCTTGATCTCTTGACCTCGTGGTTCACCCGCCTTGGCCTCCCAAAGTGCTGGGATTACAGGTGTGAGCCACTGCGCCTGGCCTTATTTTTTGAGACAGTCTTGCTCTGTGCAAGACTGGAGTACATGGCACCATCATGACTCACTGCCTCCTGGATCTCTCAGGCTCAAGAAACCCTCCCATCTACTCAGCTGCCCCAGTAGCTGTGACTACGATGTGCGCCACCATGCCCAGATAATTTTTGTATTTTTATTTTTGTAGAGACAGGGTCTCACTATTTTTCCCAGGCTGGCCTTGAACTCCTGGCCTTAAGTGATCATCCTGCCTCAGCCTCCCCAAATACTGGAGTTACAGGTGTGAGCCACCATACCTGGCTGTTAATCTCATTTTTAAAACAAAATCTCAGGCTCAGAGGCTTTGATGGGCAGTAGTGTCTGGCCAGATTTAATACATTTTTACTTTCATCATTCTTCTATGGTTATTGTATTTAAGGCAATTGGTTCTCCACCAATTTAGTGATATAAAGTCTGCTCACAGAATTAATTTTATATGACTTTGAACAGACACAGAGGAACTCTGGAAGGATAGACAAGAAACTGGTGACTGGCGACTGCCTCTAGTGTGGGGAACTCAGTGGTTGGGGACAGGAATGGATTGGAAACGTAATTTTATCAGTTTATCCTTTTGAATATTTTGAACCTACTCAAAAAATAAGCAAACCTTAGTTTAAAAATAAATTTAAGCAAATAAAGATTTACAGGTGGTTTTGGGTAAGGGGAATATTGTAAAGGTATATGTAAAGGGGAATATTGTCCAGGACCTGGGCTGGCACACATGGGCCCTTCCCTGCAGCCCTGGCTTTCCCTGGCCACTCCCAGGCTCCCGGTATCAGGTGCAGGAGAGGAGAGGAAGTAAAGGGTGCCATACTTACGTCCTGACTGACCTGTAAAGACACCGTATGGTAGCTGGCAGGCACGCCTTCGTCTTCATCATCATCACTCTGCCCGCCCCGAGAGGCATGTTGGCTGGAAGTTCGAGGCCGGCGAAGCACAGAGCCCTCTTTGGATTTCTTCTTGAAGCGGTTCCCTTTGCTGTCATATTTGTGACTCTTGCTACGTTTCTCCTGGGACTTGCATCCTGAGCAGAGCCACACTCGGGTCACATTTCCGAGTCTAGAGGCATAGATACCCTGCCTTTCTCCCCTCTCTGCTTCTCCCCTGCATAACTGCATGGCTACTCCCCAGCTGCCCCCTGATCAGCTGACCCACCGCCATTCAGACTGGCCTCCACAAAGATCCGGAGAGTCTTGACACAGAGCTCAAAGTTGTCAGGTGTGATGTGGGCAGCATCACGCACGATGAAGGACAGTGATTCCACACATTTAAGCAGAGACTTAGTGTCATGTGGCCCCAAGTCCAGTCCCACTGTTAGGCTGTATTGATTGATCAGGGGTGAAGGGCCTGGACGGCTGGGCCCTGGCTTGGAGTTATCAATGTCATCCTTCCCGACCTGTAAAGTACACAGAGGAGCTGGGGACCCAGGCTTGGCCCTTATGTGGATTTCCTTGCAGAAGACCAGGAATTCTTCCCACAGGTCAAAGGGGGAAGACTCAATTGCTGCCCATATTGTCACTCACCATTAACCAACCACTGTTGACCACATCAGCATCAGTGGCTGATCGGTGTATCTTGCCAGGCCTGCCATGATCAGTGTAGACCTCTGAGTCAGAAGTGTACCCACGATCCAGGCTCACATCATTTTGATGGTAGGATGGGAGCTCACTGTCTGACTGGGCCCCTACAGCAGGAAAGGAGAAGGGCAGAGTCAGGGTGGGGATGGGGTAGTTTCTGTTTCTGGAAAAACAGTCCTGAAGAAAGCAGAAAGCCTAGCTTCATAGCCTTCTGCATTGCTTATTTGCGCTCATGCTATTTAACTTATGGGTGCTGGCCAGATGGCACTGGAAGGTCTGGAAGCAGATGGCAGAAGCCAGGGGTGTTTAATCTGCTGAATGCAGTAACCTATGTTTTGTTTTCCTGTCCCAATTCCTGGAGCATAACTGTTTATCTGCCAGCCTGAGTCTCCCTGGGAAAGGGCTTACCAGCATCAGGTGCATCTCCCCTGGCTGTGGCCTGCAGAGCAGCAGGAGGCTTCACACCTGAGCCGATACACTCCAGCAGTGTGAAGAGGGTGGCCCAGTCATCACCTGAGTGGATATTGGCTGCGTTGGTCTTCAGGAGTTCATGGAGCCCATATGCAACCTGGTGGCTGACTCGGGATAGCACACTGGGCTTCATCAGTAGCAAAATGCGCAGGGAAAGCAGCACCTGGAGTGGGGTTGGGGTAAGAGGCAGGGAGTGGGCACACAGCTTCCTGTCTAGTTTTCTTTCCCACCAGTCTCCTTAGGCCAGTGAAGAGAGTTTGGCTAGAACCCAATTTAGGACACTGCTTCTGGTCTTTTTTTTCAAATAGAAATATGTTATATGAATTTGAGATGGGGTCTTGCTCTGTTTCCCAGGCTAGAGCACAGTGGCACAATCACAGCTCACTGCAACCTGAAACTCCTGGGCTCAAGTGATCCTCCTGCCTCAGTCTCTGAAGTAGCTGGGACTACAGGTACGTGTGACCACACCTGGCTAATTTTTTCTTTTTTGGAGAGATGTTGCCCAGGCTGGTCTTGAACTCCCAGGCTCAAGTGATCTTCCTGTCTCGGCCTCCTGAAGTGCTGGGATTATAGGCATGAGCCACTGTACCCAGCCTCAAATAGAAATTTTTATTGAGAAAATTATAGGTTCATATGCAGTTGTAAATAAATAATACAAACAGGTCCCTTATACACTTTGCCCAGTTTATCCCAATGGTCACATTATGCAAAACTATAGTGCAATATCATAATCAAGATACTATCTGATCTTATTCAAATTTCCTGTTTTATTTGCATTTGTGTATTAATTTCTATAAAATTTTACTACCTGTGTAGTTTGGTGGTGGATACACAAATCAACACACTGAACAGTTCTAACACAACAGTATTCCTCATGTTACCTTTTTCTTTTTTTAGAGACAGGTTTTGCTCTGTCACCCAGGCTAGAATGCAGTGGTGTGATCACAGCTCACTGCAGCCTCAAACTCCTGGGCACAAGTGATCCTCCTGCCTTAGCCTCCTGGGTAGCTGGAACTACAGGCATGTGTCACCATGCCCAGCTAATGTTACCCTTTCATAACCACACCTACCTCTTCTTCCTGCCCCCATCCCTAACCTTTAGCAATCTGTCTTCAAATTCTATTTTTTTTTTTTTTTTTTTTTGAGACGGAGTTTCACTCATGTTACCCAGGCTGGAGTGCAATGGCGCGATCTCGGCTCACCGCAACCTCCGCCTCCTGGGTTCAGGCAATTCTCCTGCCTCAGCCTCCTGAGTAGCTGGGATTATAGGCAGGCACCACCATGCCCAGCTAATTTTTTTTGTATTTTTTTAGTAGAGACGGGGTTTCACCATGTTGACCAGGATGGTCTCGATCTCTTGACCTCGTGATCCACCCGCCTCGGCCTCCCAAAGTGCTGGGATTACAGGCTTGAGCCACCGCGCCCGGCCTTTTTTTTTTTTGAGACAGAGTCTCATCATGCAGGCTGGAACACAGGTGGGATCTTGGCTCACTGCAACCTCTGTTTCCTGTGTTCAAGTGATTCTCCTGCCTCAGCCTCCCAAGTAGCTGGGATTACAGATGCGAGCCACCACACCTGGCTAATTTTTATATTTTTAGTAGAGATTGGGTTTCACCATGTTGGCCAGGCTGGTCTTGAACTCCTGACCACAAGTGATTCACTGGCCTTGGCTTCCCCAAGTGCTGGGATTACAGGTGTGAGCTACCATGCCCAGCCTGTCTTCAAATTCTAAAATTCTGTCATTTCAAAAATATTATATAAGAATTATATAGCATAACCTTTTCAGATTGACTTTTCTTTCACTCTGCATAGTGCCCTGGTTGCTTTAGATTGCTGAAGAGTATTCCATGGTATGTATGTACTACCGTTTATTCACCTATTGAAAGTCATCTAGGCCAATTCCAGTTTTTGGGTACTACAACTAAAGCTTCTATAAACATTAATGTACAAGTGTTTATGGGAAAGTAAGCTTTCACTTTTCTGGGATAAATGCCTAAGAGTGCAGGTGCTGAGTTGAATGGTAATTATGTTTTTCGTTTTATAAGTAACTGCCAGCAGAGTAGCTGTACATTTTACATTCCCACCCAGCAGTGTATGAATGATCCAGTTTCTCCGCATCCTTTCAGCATTTGGTATTATCACTACTTTTTATTTTAGCCATTCTGAAAAGGGGATAGTGATGTCTCATTGCGGTTTTATTTTTTTGAGATGGAGTGTCACTCTGTCACCCAGGCTAGAGTGCGGTGGCACAATCTCAGTTCACTGCAACCTCTGCCTCCTGGGTTCAAGCAATACTGCCACCTCAGCCTCCCCAGTAAGTGGAACTACAGGCATGCGCACCACGCCCAGCTAATTTTTGTATTTTTTGGTAGAGACAGGGTTTCACCATGTTGGCCAGGCTGGTGTCAAACTCTTGACCTTGGGTGATCCACCTGCCTTGGCCTCCCAAAGTGCTGGGAGTACAGGGTGAGCCACTGCACTTGACCTCATTGTGGTTTTAGTTTGCAGTACTCTGATGATTAATGATTCTGATCTTTATTTCATGTGCTTATTTGCCATCTATATGTCTTCTTTGGCAAAACGTCTGTTCCTATGTTTTGTTCATTTTCTATTAATTGGATTTTTTTTCTATTAATTGGACTGTTGTGTTTTGAGAGTTTTATATTATAGATACTAACCTTTCTTCAAATATGCAAATATGTGATTTGCAAATATATTTGTTCCTTGTCTATAGTTTGTCTTTTCATCCTCTTCACAGACTCTCATAGAACAAATTTTTAAAAATATTAATGTAGTCCAACTTATCAATTTTTCCCTTTCTAGATTGTGCTTTTAATGTCAAGTCTAAAAATTATTATTTTTTTTTTGAAAGAGAGTCCCCCTGGATCTGTTCATCTGGACAGTGCTGAAGCAAGAGACAGATCCACGGGACTGTTAAACGTACTAAAAATTATTTGCTTAGCTCTAGATCCTGAAGATTTCCTTCTGTTTCTAAAGTTTTTATAGCTTTACATTTAGATCTATGATCCATTTGAGTTAATTTTTCTGTAAGGCATGAGTTTAGGTCAAGGTTCATTTGCTTTTTCCCCCCGTGGATTTTAATCACTCCACCACTTATTGAAAAGGCTATTCCTCCTACACTGAATTGTTTTTACATCTTGGTTAAAAAATCCACTGAACACATTTGTGTTGAGTTTATTTCTGGGCTCTCTATTCTTTCCATTGATCTGTGTCTATCCCTCCATCCATATCATATAATCTTGACTACTGTAGCTATACAGTATGTCTTTTTTTTTTTTTTTT